TTTAGTGTGTGTGGGCGCATTTTAGGGGAAAAAAGTAATCAGAGGAGGAGAAGCTCGAGGGGTATCAGTGAGAGGATTAAACACTGAACTAATACAACTCGATGCAGAGCCGTTGTTAGCCCTTTATTAAGAAGGATGCATGTTTGTTTTCAAAAGGACGGGCCCATTGTGTATGTGTGCGCTTGCAGGAAGTGCTTATGAGGCAAGCAGGATGTGCAGGAAGTGTTTGGCTTGGCGGAGCTGCCAGCTAGGTTGCTGCTCTGAGGATTGCTGATGCCGGGGGGTATCCAATGCAAAGATTCCCTTCTTTTGTCCACCACAAAGAACACACGCACTAAAAAAAGGAATCCAGTAAAGTCAGCTGGGATGGAGACGAAGCACACAAGCCGTGAAGTGGACCAGGCTGTCATCTAATTGAGCCATCCATCAGTTTTTTATTCTGCTGCGAGGAAACGCAGGATCCTGGTCACTTATGAAAACGTGGGAGTGTGACAGACAAGCCACACTTATTACATAACACGTCCCCGCTGCACACAGTTGCAGTGTCAAAATAGGACAGGATGAAAGAGAAGGGTATGTCAGGACAGAGGGCTTATCAGAGGTGAACTCAAGCGGTGTTGTGTCAAATGGAGGGTTTTTAATACTTGTACTGCAATAGTCACGAGGTGCAACCACATAATGCCTTTTATAACTTAATCTGACTGCAATTATTATTTTTGTATTATATAGGAAAAATATAGTTCTATATGTATATTTTTATCTGGCATGGGACTCTGTTATTCCCTTTTTGTTCTCATTTTCATAATTTGTATCTGTATATTTGTGTCCTTCTTTGAAGGTGAATAGAAAACAATACAAAACTGGTCACAAAAATACATCTAAAATACAATTTGCATTGTGTAAGAGTCGAGAAAAGAAACAACTTAACATTAGACACTTGAAAATAAATGGAAGCACAACAGGGAGAGTGATCCATCTTCCATCATGTGTCACAGGAGTAGAAAAGAGAAAGGATAAGAATTTAAGTAAATACAGATAAAATGGGCAAAAGACGAGACCGGAGGAAAGGAGTTTTTATCGGTGCAAATTCAACCTCTCTTAAAATTCTCTGCAATATATCCTCCGCCTGTGCTCGCGTTCCCGCCCGTCCCGTATCTTCTGTGTTGACAGCTGATGGGACGAGCCCTTTCCGTCAGGATTAGATTTAGCATTACAGCTCTTATACATTACACATGACCTTATCCTTATAGCTACCTCTGACTTCAATGTCGCTACAGATTTCCCCTCACTCTCCGGGGCCCACTACTCCACTCACCAACCACATACATTATAGATATACATCCTGTCCTCATAGATCCCTGAGGGAAGCACTTCATACAGGAACAGACAACCACTTATAGACACAAGTCTCCGTTGACTCACATGTTGCATTTAAAAATAAAAGTTATCGTCTGATTTGTCTTCCATGTTTTTTGCCAAGTTGCAATTTCCCTGAACCGTTCTGAGATCTAACATCTGCTTTCACACTTCACAACATGTGTTTGATACTTGGTGCCAACCACTTTAAGGAAGAAAAAAAAGTGTGAAAATGTCCTTTTAATCAATCTTAAGGTGTACGTAAACAACACGTTGAGAAAAAGATGGTGTTAAAAAGATTAAAGCTGTGAAAGTTATAAAACTGTACAGCAACAACCAATGAATCTGTCTAATGTTTTTTTAATTTTTACCAACCAGATTCGTCAGGCCATATGACCTCGTCACCCCTGGGCTCACCCACATCCCACAGAGGAATGCACCCGTCTCTATTAAGCCCGTCCATGGGGCACTCGGGCTCCCTGCACTCTCCCATCAGCTCGCTGGGTTCGCCCATGAACGGCTTGACATCACCCTTCTCCGTCATCAGCTCACCGATGGGCCCCCACTCCATGAACTCGCCTGGTATGGGATACGGCCCCAGCCTTAGCCCCCAGGTAAGGCCTGTCACAGACTCGCAGATAAGTGCATATACAAACTTGTAAAAAGTGTGTTTTATTACAGTTGCTTAGTTAGACACATGTTTTGTCTCAATTTGCGTACTTTAGTTTAGTTTATTTATTTTTTCCGAGTGTGTAAAACCAAAGAAAATACAAATGAAACAAAAGATGATGCAGACATGATACAGTACTATACAAATGAATGCGATAACAAAACGAAATATTTAATTAATAATTGAATAATCTGTAGTATCATTGTCTGATATCAATAAACAACAAAACTTTAGCTAATTACACGTCGGAAAAGGGGTCGGAAGAAGTTTACACTTATTTAATCCGACCCCTTCTCCCTTTTTTTTTTTAAATGTTTTAATATATGTATAAAATAATACTACTTTACTTACTTTTGCTATTTCAAGTGCATTACTGCGTTCCAATGGGAAGTATGCCAAAATGCAGTGCATTATGAGAACCTGGATGGGACACTTATTTATTTTGAATGTGTGGAAAGCTCAACATTTCTTACACTCAACAATTCCCATTTCACCATAATGGAAGCAGCTGGAATGCCGTGATTGCATTGCTAGATAGCCAGTTAGCTAGATAGCCAGTTAGCTAACAGTGGTTTTCACTTCCGATGAGAGCACAGTAGCTCTGTGCAATTTGAGATTACACTGCCGAGTCAAATTGTACGCTGCACAAGCATATGCAGTTCAAGTCAAGTACAATCTACTAACACTTCAGTATTGAGAGATAAAAGTGTGTTTGTGTACATTTCTTGTAAAGCTAAATGTAAGGCAAGGCAAGTTTATTTATATAGCACTTTTCAACACAAGGCAATTCAAGGTGCTTTACAAAAAATGAAAGACATTAAGAAAATGGCATTTAAAATCAGTCATTAAAAAGAAAAGCTAATAAAATAAACATTAAAAGAAAAAATACATGGATAAAAGTTACAGTGCAGTTTAAGATGTGAATAGTTCAATTAAAAGCAGCGACAAAAAGAAAAGTCTTCAGCCTGGATGATTTAAAAGTAGTCAGGAGTTGCAGCGGAACCTGCAGGTTTCTGGGAGTTTGTTCCAGATATTTGGAGCATAATAACTGAACGCTGCTTTACCATGTTTAGTTCTGACTCTGGGGACAGAAAGCTGACCAGTCCCTGAAGACCTGAGAGATCTAAGAAATGTAGGCTAACATGCTAACACGCACTAATGTTTTTTTACTTCAGTTCGTTGGACACTTGAGAGTTGTTGATGTCTGATGTGTTCGAATTTAATTCGTCTGGCGGATTTCCCCTGCTTCCTTTTCTTAATGCTAAACTAAGCTAAGCTTATCATCTCCTTGCTGTAGCCTCATTTTATCTTGACCAGAAAAAGAATGCTCCCTAATATGGTGATAACATTTATAAAATTCATAGAAAATATATTTAGTGCCTTACATTTCAAGCTACATTGAGAAACAAACATAACGTTTACAGTACATTCAGCAGACTGTACGATGGTTTCATAAGGTCTTGCAGTGTTTTCACACAGATATAAAGATGCCCTATAAACTAACCAGTAAAAAACTGTTGAATTGTATCACTTACACACTGTATTCACATGTCTCAGTAGTGCAAATTACAGTCATACACACACACACACACACACACATACACACACACACACACACACATACAGTATGATTTTCCTAAGCCAGGCCCTAGCAGACAGAGGCCCCACTTTGACCCCAATGCCACAGTTAATCAAGGCCTATTCAACTGGGATTGCACAGTACTTTACTCTGTCACTCTTTCTCCTATATCTCTGCTCTATTTGTCAGTCTCTCCAGCCATTTTTTGAGCTCGTCTCTATCCTTTCATTCTGCTTCTCTCTGGCTGTCCTATTTCTTCTTTTCATGTTTTCTTATTCCTTGTCTGTTTCACACCATCTCCATTTCCTGTATCTCTGTCTTTGCCGTTTTTTTTGTTCCATCAATAATCCTTTGGCATTAAAAAAAACACACACACACAATTAAGACATCAAAGCCAGAAGTGGCCCAGTTTCCGTCTGGAGCCATATCTGAAATTGAAATTGTTTCCCCCCTAAAATTCAGTGGCTGCCCTTTTTTTGGTTTGTGAATAATTGTGTTTCTAGTGTGTCGGCAAACGTGATGCTATTTAGGATGGGCTCTCTTTGCTATTGTTGGGCTTATCGCCGAAGTGTCCCACATGTAATGGAGTTAAGGCCGGATTAGGGGCCAGAATCTTTCATTGCTAGAAAGCCTCCCCCCCCTTCGGCAGCCCCCTCTTTTTTCACATTTTTCAATTCCAACACCTTGATCTGCGCTGCTGTTTCTGTCCCGGAGCGGCACACTTGGTATGCAGGTTGGATATTTAGGTAGCAAACGTTACAGTTGTCTGTCTGTCTTATTTGAATAATCTATACCGGGAGCTTAACTGATTCTTTTACTAGTACTAATGTTAAATATGTAGAAATTACGGGCATCATGACGACAAGTATTACACGCTTTACAGAAGATGTGCTTTCCTCTTTGTAGTATTTAAACGTACTGCAGCTTGGCCAATCCTGTCATTTCTACCAGCTGTATAAAGAGCAGGAAACAGCTGCTTCTACCAGTTTTAACACTGTATGTACAGTAATTACAGCATGTATTTGACTTATGTTATGGGTCATGTCTGGTTTCCAGTCCTCTACAGTGCTGTGTTGTATTTTACTTGCTGATTTTTGATGTGACTAATATAGGGCAGCCTAAGATCATGAAATGAAAGGGCGAGGTAACGAAAAATGATACTACTTCTGATGCGTTCATTTTGTTTCAATAGTAAGACAATATAATCAACAATCAACATCGGCACCTCAGTGGTTTCCCCGACTCAGACTGCAAGGAATCTGGGTGTGACCCTAGATAACAACCTGTCCTTCACTGCAAACATCGCTGCTACAACCCGTTGCTGCAGATACACGCTTTACAACATCAGGAAGATACGTCCCCAGCTGACTCAGAAAGCGACTCAGGTTCTGGTCCAGGCTCTCGTCATCTCACGCCTAGACTACTGCAACTCCCTCCTGGCTGGTCTACCTGCATGTGCTATCCGACCTCTGCAGCTCATCCAGAATGCAGCGGCTCGTCTGGTCTTCAACCTTCCTAAATTCTCCCACACCACTCCGCTCCTCCGCTCCCTTCACTGGCTTCCGGTAACTGCTAGAATCCACTTCAAGACACTGGTACTTGCTTACCATGCTGCGAATGGATCTGGTCCTTCGTACATCCAGGACATGGTTAAACCGTACACCCCAGCGCGTGCACTACGCTCTGCATCAGCCAAACGACTCGTTGCGCCCTCGCTGCGAGGGGGACCCAAGTTCCCATCGGCGAAACACGTGGGTTTGCTATCCTGGCTCCAAGATGGTGGAATGAGCTCCCCATTGACATCAGGACGGCAGATAGCTTGCACATCTTCCGGCGCAAACTGAAAACTCATCTCTTTCGACTCCACTTCGAGCGTTAGAACTATTAACTTTTATTCTAATAAAGGACTGGCTTACCTAAAGCCAGTGGAGTAGCACTTGAAATGTTTGGCTCTATGAAACCTGATGTACTTATATGATTCTGTTTTCTTCAAGGTTGTGTCTTCCTGGTCGAATGCACTTATTGTAAGTCGCTTTGGATAAAAGCGTCAGCTAAATGCAATGTAATGTAATGTAATGTAATAATCTTTTGAGAAGTACAAACATGGCTTTCATCAACCCTTCTCACAGCAAGGGGTTATAGTTGGAACGGGTAAGATTAGGGTGTGGAAATGAGCACCTCCCTTTTTTTTAAGGCTTACCACCCGTTTCAATGTGCCAGTTTGCGGTAAAGTAGTCAAATTAAACCACCATATTTTTTCAGTAATGACTGTATTGTGTGACTATAGCAGGAAGTATTACAAGTACTAATAGCAATTTATGGTCAGTATTTTACAGAAAGACACTTCGACATGTGGACTGCACATTAACAAGTGGCAATATAGTAGTTTGGCTAACTTTGTTTTATCTGAAACACCTCCCTTTAAGTCCCCCTATTTACCATGTATAGCAGTAAGCAGTACAACAATATAAGAATAAAACACAGTTGAGGTTATTCCACCTAAACTCTAGTGCCGTATGAGTGCTAGTGTTGAACATTTCAAGTACAACTCAGCTACAAATCTGACAGGTACTCATGTTTGAGGATTTGAGCCGTTAAGCGTGAACGTTTGCATAACTGAGACCATCGAAGCTGCTCACGATTGCTCGGTGAAGGCGGGGTACGGCAGTTTGATGTGGCTGATGCGGCTCAGAGGTCAAAGCCGGTGTCAGGGCCCTGTGGTCGCGAGGCGCAGCACTTGTGAGGAGACGTGATCTGAGTCAGACGGCGAATGCCACTTGCTCTTAACACTCGGCTGACTTGCTGTTTTCATGAGCAGTTGACTGGAACGGGATCACAGCATAGCCTCCTCCCCACTCAACCACCCAGAGGCTATTACAAGTTCCCCGTCTATGCTAAGAACACACACACTTAAACGCATAAGCATGGACACACTTACTGACTGTCAACTCTTTTATGTGACCACACATTTTACAAATTACATACTTTTAATTCTTCCTATTCAAGGTCATTCGCATAGCTCATAGAAGATCGAAATCATCACACTATTGTTATTTTTCCTGTTTACTTCGTTCTTACTGCCTTTCTTAGCCTTTCTTATTAAGGCAAGGTTAATTTATATTCTCCCATTGGAGGAAGTTGTCTTGGTAGACCTAGTTTACCATCAACTACAATCATCAGCGTCTACTGTTTGAATAAAACTCAACTCTAAGATTGTAATATAATCCAGGTAGAAAAGTTATTCAACCACTCTGGTTCTGGTTAAAACATGTGCATTTCGAATGGTAATCGGTGAAAACAATGAGCTTTAACTATCCCCTACATCAAAGACGTAAATGACAACATGATGGAAGCTGAAGATGGGA